TTCAGCAGCTGGGCCCCGTGCATGGGCTTTGGCACAGTCAACACAAACCAACACGAACCCCAAACAACCAACACAAACCCCAGCTGCCAAGGGCACGGGAGAGGCCTGCAGCACTGCAAGGACTGGCTGGCGGGACACAAGAAGAGGGTAAATTCTCTCTGGTAAATCCGTGTTTGCACAATTATGTAAAAGAATATAAATGCTTGAGAGGTCCCTGAGGTTGGGGTTGACTTGGAGGGGTTTAGGGGAAGGGCAGCTGGCGGGAGCAGATTAGCATCTGTTATGTAGAAGGTTTCGGGCCGTTCTATTTGGGGATGTAAGTGGTTATGGCTGGAGTGCACTCATGTAGGCAAATCACAAGTGGGAGATAAGGGAGTAGTTTATATGAAGGCTCAGTGGAGATGTGGGAGGAGTTTTGACTCAGCCTTTGAGGGATGTTTAAACTCAATAGTGCATTGAACATCCTGTGCTTTGCTGTATTTCAAGACTTGGCCTGACTGGGTGGGAAAGTGCAAGGGTCAAAGGGGCTGAAAACTGAACTGGTGCTTTAGAGCAGCTGGAGATAAGGGAGTGGACATTTAAAAGTATGAAGTGAAAAGCATTCCTTTGAACCCGTATCTTCACCACTTCTTGGGTTCTTTTTTCAAATTGCTCTGCATAAAACCTGGCAGTTTCTACAGCTTTTCATGTTGCAAAGTGCCTCTCTTGAGGACACTCCCGCATCACCGGCAGGATTCCACATACCCAAGTAGATCCTCACAAGTAAGACGTTGTCTTTGGTTTAGAGGAGGGTACCCATATGTTTAAAGCCATGTCTGTTGCAAGTGTAGAACACTTAAGAGCACAGTGCTCTACCATGGGAGTGCTCTGGATTAATTGCTGAGTAGCACATGCTTCTCAGTGTGAGGAGACAGCTCACAGTAGGGTGCCCAAAAAAGCAGGGAAATGTCCAAGGTAAATATTTACTAGTAGCTCTAAGTTTGAAATGCATATTTACATAGAGTCATAGAATTGTTTAGATTGGAAACGACCTATAAGATCATCAAGTACAACCGTTAACCTAGCCCTGCCGAATCCACTAAACCACGTCCCTAAGTGCCACATCTACACATCTAAACACCTCCAGGGATGGTGCCTCGACTGCTACCCTGGGCAGCCTGTTCCAGTGCTTGACAAGCCTTCCAGTGAAGACATTTCTTTCCAGTACCCCATCTAAACCTCCCATGGTGCAAATTGAGACCATTTCCTCTTGTCCTATTGCTGGTTACTTGGGAGAAGAGACTGACACCCACCTCACTACACCCTCCTTTCAGGCAGTTGCAGGGAGCAGTAAGGTCTCCTCTCAGCCTCCTCTTCTCCAGACTAAACAACCCCAGCTCCCTCAGCTGCTCCTCATCAGTCGTGTGCTCCAGACCCCTCGCCAGCTCCGTTCTTTGGACACGCTCCAGCACCTCAATGTCAGTGAAATTCCCCCGATGCCTCTCATTTTTCACAAGGATACTTTCACGTCTCTGTCGTATTACTGTGCCCCAAGATAATAATATCACAAGCAGCAAAAGCTAGAAGCAGAAAAAGCTGGGAGCCACTTCAGCTCTGCGGCTAGGTTGGCATTTTATAGTTGTTTCCTTTCTTCTAAATCCCTGAGTGTGCCTTTAGAGCTGCCAGTGAGCAGATTGATCTCTCAGACTGCACATGGGATTAGCATTTCTGTGGACTTATGTCAACATCGTCATTAGTGAGAGGAAGCACTTAACAGATAGAGCTTTCCATGTTACTGCAAGGTATGATCAGTAAATTCAACCTCATGTGAGGGAAAGACAGACACTGAGTTTACCTGCTGTGAGACTATTGAATATATGAGAGAGCCGAAAAGGAATCTTACGGGTTTTGTTATTTGGATTAATAGTTTCGGTGGCCTTAGCAAACTCAACCAAAGCTTTGTTGTTGACTTCCCAGGGATAGGTTTTTACCAGCCACATCCTTCAGTGTTTGGAAGATGAATAGCTGCTGACAGCCGCTGCGAAAAGTATCTTCCCTAATGTGCAGTTTGAGAGGGTTAGCGAGTTTGCTGCAGGAATGGGCAGGTATCCTGGAAGACGTACATAGTCCCCAGAGCATATTCTGTTTCTGGAATGACTTAAGCCCAACAAGTCCATCTTCTACACTGGCTATAAGAGAATCAGATTGGTGAAGGGCTTTTATCTGTGATTTGTTTAGAGAAGGGGGAATACGTGGAGTCATCTTTTAAGTCAGTGAGAACTGATCCACTTCCTTTTCCTTGCAGTGTATGGCTGGGTACTTCAGAATGTGGTTTTTCAGGGTTTTTTTCCCATGTCTTTGGGTTTTGTAGCTAGAGAGCAGCATTGCAGTGACTGTGTGCAAATAGCTGTTAAGAATTACTTGTGGAGACAGCAGAAACTGAGATTCTTAAAAAGAAATATGCCACTTCGCTTGTAATTTTTTTAGGAAGATGTACATGCTTTCTTTCTTGAGAATCCTTTGAGTATCTCAACTGGTGCTTCTGAAAGCAAAAATGATGCAGTGAAATGCTTGTATGTAAACTGTTCACACTTGTTCAGTAGAGCACTGAATAATACCACTCTGTTCTTGGTTTGTTGATTCTGTTTTTCATAGGGTATTCCAGGTCCACATGGTAATCCAGGTTTGCCGGGATTGCCAGGTCCAAAGGTGAGTTAATTTATCCATGTAAATGCACTAATTTCCTAATGACTTTGTGGAAACCTCAGAACTGTTTCCTATAATAGAAGCAATTGGCCTTCTCTGGTTTACAGACGGATGCCATTACTATAAACATATTTTAATTACATGTAATCAATCAAATTGAACTTCAAATTAAAAGAATTATTCCAGGGGGGGAAAAATCCAACCCTGTATGTGCAGAGTGATGACCTGGAAGCTGTTACCCATGGAAGTAATCTGTAGTTCCCAGGAAAGTGCCTGTAAATCAGCTCAGCCTCTTAGGTAAACTGGAATTTAAGTGAGAATAAACGTTTAATTGCTGTAACCTTTTGCCTTGCTTTAAAATAAAAAAAATAGGAAGGAAAATATATTGGCGTTCTCTGTAAATTCCTCTTTTGTCAGAGCCCAACCTTTGATATTTAAATATTTATATATTTCAGACATTATCACTTGATTAATATGCTAGAATAATTTTCTGAAGATTTATGAATGTGATATTTAAAACAGGAAAAAAAACCAAACCACAAACCCTGGACTGGAAGCTCAAATAAAACCCTTCAAACTTTGGGTAACGTAGCCCCTTTAAATAGATTTGACAGATCTGTGCAGTTGCAGAATGCCTTCAACTCATATTTAGTGTGAGCAATTTGATAGATATGTTAGGAAAAAACAGCAGCAACCGTGACTTGTTTTAGTGCGATTCCTAATGGCAGGAATGTGACCTGTCAGGACAGGTGTTAAAACTGCTTGGGGACACACGGGGAGGGTTAATAACGCTTTCAGTGTCTAACACTGTGAAACTGGGTAACTATTTCTGTGTTTGTGTGTGCTTTTGTTGTTGTCTCTCTCTATGGGAACAGTTAAACTTGTGAAATATCATTATGAATCTCTAATATTTATGCTGCCTGTGTAATAGTACACATTGCTAGGAAAATAATTGTGATAAATTACTCCTAGAATTTGTTTTATAATGTATTTTCCCCTTCCACTGGATCATAATGCCGATCAATTCTGTAGCTGTCTCCATGACTGTAAGAACAGAAGGAACTATGAGCATGTGCCTATATACATATATTAAAAACATATATGTATATATTACTAGGTGCCTAGTGATGTCTTGTATTTAAAGGATAATTCATAGTCTAACAGAAATCAAAGTGTATTCTGAAACCCTTGTCTTTAAATAAGAATTAGCCAGGTGCTCATAAAGTTCTGACTTGGTATGGGTCAGCTGGATCCCTCATGTAAGCTTAAACGAAACACACTTTTGTTAGATCCTAAAACATCACAGACAAGTTGCAGCAGTTTTCTGGTAATAGCTTAATGCAGAATTGGATTCTGCCTTTGAGATGCATGTGGTTTTCCCTCCTATACTTAAGCATCCTTTATGCACTTGCTTTTAAAGCATGGAACAGCATTAGCTGGTACCCTCCTAGTAAAATATCCAGCCCTGAGCATGTGCCAGCAGTTCCAACAAATAGCTGAGGTCCTTGCCATTTAATTCCTGATAAACAGTTGATCTGTGTTTGCAAAGTCATTTAAAAGTATTTGAGTTTTGGCTGTGTTCCTGGCTCTCTGAAAAATGGGTTAGTTAAGAAGATCTAGTTTGTGGATTATGGCACTGTTCTACCTACGCTGTAATGCACATAGATTAAGTAATGAAGTGCTTTATTTTATCCTCACATCTTGACCTCTTGGTGTGACATGTTGTTAATCCACAACTGAAGGCCATGCCTAACTACGGCTGTTTGTTTTTTAGTTTGAAAATAACAAGGAATTAATTATGCTTGTCAGGGAATGGAAAGGCCATGGGTAAATTATCAGAGTCCTGTGTTTCAACTAAAAAGAGCTTATCACAATTTTATTACAACTAATAGTTTAATATTGCCTATATTGGAAAACAGAAGCAGAAGACAGACTGGAGTTGTTCAAGGGATAAAACTCTTTACCTTCCAAAGCGTAAATCAGCTGGAAAATACTCGGATAACTCCTGCCATGCTGAAGAACTGTGTTCTCTATGACCTGACACATCAATTAAACACAACAGATTAATTTTGCCTTATTTCCAGTCTTTATTTAGTATTCAGCAAGCTTAGTTTCTCAAGTGGCCTCACATGTACAAATGGTAACTGCAGAGGGAAGAATAACCACTGATGGTCAGCACTGTCCACAGGAGGAGGAGCAGACCCCGTAGCATTTCCAGTGTAAGCCCTGTACGTTACAGGTCTGCAGTGGCTGGCCATCGGGAAGCCTCGTGGTGCTTGTCTTGTGCGTCCCCCTGAGCATCCCGTGTTGCCCTGGGAGCAGTGTTGTGTTGGCAATGTCTAAACAGCTGCTTTTCCCAACCTCAGCTCTCATGCAATGAGGGGCACGTATCTTCTTTAATCTAGTGCTGCTGTGGGGTGACTTTAGTAGTAGCATTTATTTCCTTGGCTACATAAAACGTATTTTTGAGATAAAAGAGTAGGTCTTGATGCTTGCGAGTAACGCCCAGGGTTACTCTACAGCTTTGAATTCAAGAGCACTGGTGTGGGCTGTGCCATTTGTATCAGTCCCTTTATTTTCAGTTATTAGTGCGTGAATGTGATCTCAGTCTATGGCTCTGGGAACTCAGATCGGTCACCTGGGTCAGTGCGAAGCCGTTCACCCAGGGCTGTCTCAGGAGACACCGTTTGCTGATGACTCTTGTTTAATCGGCAGTGAACTTGGCTCCGAGGGGTGTGTGTTTGTGGCAGCAGCTCTGCCTGTAGCCAGCAGCTCTGCATGGCTGGGGACCAGGCCCAGCCGCACCTCCCGTGGCTCCTGGCACTTCATGGGGCAGTGTGCTCCAGCAATGGGGATTCGAAATAGGAGAGAGCAGCATGGCAGCATCCTTCCCCTCTCTGCGCCCTGGTCTTGGGTGCACACAGTAATTTCTTGCCAGGAATCATGAGTGGTCTCAGATGCTACGAAGTAACTGATAACTGAACCCCCTTTGCTGCATGTTTACAGCTCTGTCCTTCCCAGCCGCCGTATCTGTGCTGCCTGGGGCAGGTACTGAGCGAGAGGAAGCCTGAGCAGGATTATAACCTTAAATCTAGAAATAATTACAATCCAGCCCAATCATCTTGCACAGTGTTCAGGGAATAGTTGGTGTCCTGAAGTGGTGGGGTCATGGGGAAAGCATTTCAGCCGGGATATCTGCTGCAGTCCTGCTGGGATTTACCAGTAAAATCTGTGTATCGAAAGTTTTTGTGACATTATGAAATCTGGAAAACGTAAATCTCATTTTGATGTGAAATGACCCTATTGTATTTTGTCATAGGTCTTTACTGAAAAAGTCGTAACAAAAAAAATCTGTACTAACAAATGCATTTTATACGAAAGTTCCCCTCCTCTTGCTTTATCAGTTAAAAGTATTTGATTCCACGTGTTGTTAAAACCTTTCTCCTCTGATGATGCTAATGAGCTTAATTTCTCTGCTACAGGGCCCTAAAGGAGAACCAGGCTTCTCGCCAGGGCAAGCGAAACGTGGAGAAAAGGTAGTGTTTTCTTAATTAGAGAAAAATGTGTTGTCTGTCCAGTTCTTTCACTGAAGTCTTGTTTCGTATTCAGACAAGTTACAACAGCACAATGTTTCGTATTTACTGTGATGCTCGCATGTTTTGACAGTCATGCGAGACTGATCAGTGTGGACACAGGTGATGTGATGAACCAAAGACATAAAAAATTCTATTCCAAGCTGAAACTTAAATGATATATTTTATTTCATTTATGAAAATAAAAATTAAAGTCACTAAAAAGTAAGTACTTTTAGAACAATGACATTGAATTCTGTTCACATTGATGTAGCACAGTACGGATTCTCATTTTCTTTGGTACCTTGCATTAGTGCAAGAAAGACAAAGTTTGGTGGTGATAAATACACACATTCTTGCATGTTGTGTTGTATTTAACCACTTTTTATTAACAGACCCTTGATGCTGAGATTTGTCTTCTCAATTCAAAGCCTTTTCCTGCTACTTCAGCCTATGCTGCTTTAGCCAAACTAGCAGTTGCTCTCTCTGCCCAAAATATTGAAGTATAAATATTTAAAGTGGTTCTTTATAGAAACTGTGGGCTTGAAAGCTTGTGATTATTTAATTTTTAGATTGCAAATCTACTGTCTATGTATGAAACTTTAAAATCAGTGTGATAACACTGAAAATGTACCTGCATGTTTGCATTCTAATGTGTTAGCCTACACCATATCTTTTAGCATATCTACCTGCATTTGCCAGTAGTTCAGTTGTGGAACATTGTCCTAAGTGGAAAGCTCTGTCGAGGCCCAGGACCACTCTCTGTAATGAAACAAGCATTAGCAAATAACCACTGTCTACTAGCTGCAGGTGTGTACATAAAATTGCATAGTTTTTTAATTTATACGTTCTGTTAAACCCCAAAATTCATGAATATGTATTTTCAATATTAAAAGGCTGCTGAGCAAGATCAGAAACGTGTGTGTCGGTGCACTGATAAGAAATTGAGGCGCAGCTTTTTTAGAAGTAGCAACATTATTTTAATCTAACCAGCAATCTAATCATGGTGTGGTGAGCTATACGTGTCTGCCTGAAACTCAATTCTTTGGCCTGAGCCCAAGCTGCCTCACAACAGCCTAAAGCCCACCCACGTACATGTATGACCTCCTCCTGTAGAGTGCACCTGTAATCCAAAATTATGGAACTGATATGCATTTTTTAATAATTCTCACTATTTTGGGTTCTTAATTTTTCACCCAAGTCAAATTTGCTCACCCTAAGTAATGGACTTGAATTTACTTTGGTACTAACTCACTTCTAGGATCTGTTCCTTGACTCATTGAATATGAATTTGGGCACTAATCATGAGAGTGAATTTCTTCACTGTCAGTCCTGAGCAAGGTGAAAAGAATTGGAGCAACCTTCCCTCCTCCCACAGCTGCAGCAACCATAAGGAAATGCATCTTTTCCCATCTCCCTAGGCTTTGGATG